AGTTTTCTAATCCTGATTTCTGATCGTTAATAAAATATGTATTGGATTAGATACCAAACATTAAATATTTGATATTAGCCTTGCCTGTTCCTCCATGCATCTGATAAACTCTGCCTGTTTTGAGAATCCCACAGGCTGCATTTTCAAATCATTCTTTTGCTCCAGGCGAGATTCAAAAAGATCTGGATTGGATCTGAATCAAAGTTAGAACAGTTTATAACTACCATACCGCACACATATCACACTTTAGCCCCACCTTATACCAAAAGTGTATGATTTCCTTATCATACTTGATCTTGATAACTTTAATTAAAGCAGGATGACAGCAACCTGGACATATTTACTCTTAAATATCCGTGAGCGACCAGCTCCAACAGTGAAGACTTGTGGAAGCGAATCTACTGTGTATTTATAGCAGCACCCAAACCAGTTGAGCTCGCATGCACACAAGTAAAGCTTGAACTGAATCCTTACTGTAAACTACGGCAAACCCGAGTGTGGGATAGCTCGACCCTGGGCCTGTTAACTCGAATGCGCGTAAATGCCTCGAAAGCCTTTGGAGGCGTGCACGGAAAAAGGCGGGCGGAGAAAGCCTGGCGAAGGACGTTCCTAGGGCTGCCTCTTCAAGGTTACTGTCCGAGTCCCCCACTTCTTCCCCCCCAAAAAAAGAGTTAAGCAAAAGCGAAGGCGAACCCTCTCCTCGGCGCGGCCTTATACCTGCGAAGCTCTTGGATCTTAGTTCGGTATTTCTCTAAGAAAGGGTTCTCCCCCAGACCACTCTCGTCTGCAAGCCCGCGGATCCCGATTACTAGCGGCCGAGGCTGCGGCGGGACCAAAAGGCCAAGAGGCCGAAGAGCAGCGAAGCGACTCATCAGCACTCCGCGGGACAGGGTCAGCCCCGCCGTCCCCCAGAACTGCTGCAGATGCCCCGCTGCCATGCTGCCCCTGCCCCGCTGCGGTGGCCGCGAGCAACGCGGAACGCCCTCCGCCCGTTCACGTCACCCAGCGCAAAGGTTCCGCCCAGGAAAAGAAAGGGGAGAGCGAGGGATAACAAGTTTTTAAAGGTTAGATAATACGAACCGCAGACCGAGCTCATTAAAGAGAGCGTCCGCAATGAAGCTATACTAGGTCTACGCCAGTTCCGGCGATATTTGGGGTTTAGGGCTAAATCGGGTTGAACATGATTGATCTCCGTTAAGTTTATTGTGCCCTCGAGTCACTTTTTGACTCCTGGCGGCTGCCTGGCTAAGTCCCTCTACTTGGAAAGGTTTTTCGGAAGTGGTTTGCCATTGTCTCCTTCTTAGGGCCGAGTGACTGGCCAAGGTCACCCAGATGGCTTTCTTTCACCTGTCGAGGCATCATTGAGAAAACAGAGCTGCTTGTTTATAATTAATTTGAGCTATATGTATATGACTTCGTTTTTGAATGATTTGACACTCTGACCACCACGTTGTGTCCTAAGCTTTTGTATTAAAAAATGGAAAAAAACAATAAAACTTTTATAAAAAAAAGAAAAGAAAACAGAGCTGCATTTGCTCTGTGGATTTCTGGCAAATTGTATTAGAAGAAACATGTCTTGAAAGTAATAGCCCTATTTTAAAATTTCTATCCATCATTCAGCTGCTGAGGGCTTCCCCTCTTTTTTTTGCAGTCTGCTATTCTGTGCTACACAGAATATATCATTGCACATACCAGTTCATAAAATAATTATGTTTCACCGAGTTTACAGTTTGTGCTTCTTCCTAGTAAGCAATGCAATTATCATAGAAAAAGTGAATATATTTCTGAAACTGAGTTGGTTGTTTCCTTCATGTCTCAGTTTCATAAAAAGCCTTTCATGTTGTTTTGGTTTTCTACAAGTTTTATGGTGTAGTCATACAGAGAGAAATCTACAGAAACACAGCCAGATTTCATCAAAGGGATAATCAAAGAATACAATTGCTGTTGGGGCCAATTCTTGTGAGTTGCAAAATTTGAGAGCTGGAAAAAGCTTCAGCATCCTGTCTGCTACTGAAATCCGAGAAAGCCCTTGAATATTCCTTATGGTAAATTTTATGTTGAGAAAGTGCTCGTATTTCTGATAACAAAAAAAACCCCACAAAATTATTTAAATCACATGACTGACAGCATAAATATTGAAACATTTGTAATTTTGGATAATAAGAGTTCTCTGGAGTTGTCAGTTAGAAACTGGTTGCACTACAGATTGGACACTGGGTGGTGCACCTCATTCAAGTTAAAAGGTTTTGGGGGATTGCTTATCCATCTGGCAAAAAAAAAAAAATCCTGAGGTTTTTTCCCCCCTTTTTGCTTTACCAGTATTTAGTACAAAGGTTCACTTCTTGTATTTGCCAAGGGCCTTCCATGTTTTTCTGCACAGTATGACAGGAGTTTTGCCTTTTACTTTCACTCACTGAATTTAAACTAGGGAATTTTTATAGCTGTCAACTTAAAACAATTATGTTGGAAACAGGAACAGAAATATAAAATTGTGTTGCTTTTCCAATCTTTCACGATAAAAGATTGCAACTTCATTAGTAACAAGAGCATCTGTCTTTGTTATATGCACAATACTGTAGACATACAGCATTCTAATTAAAACAGTCTGTTAATTGAAATCTCTAGTTCTATGTTACAACATAATAAATGTACCATCAGCTGCTATCCTTCTTAATTGGCTTCCTTGAGGAGTTGCTCTGACAAACATATTTGTTGTGTTGCTGAATGCATATCTTCCATAGCAGTTGCTTTGATGGACAGCATGCAGAGATTTTTGACTACTGATTGCTCTAACTCAAGTACTTGTATAAATATAATAAATAGCATAGCAATTATATTCTGTTATTATGTGTATGTGTGTACACCTATGTGGATATGTTCATGCCTGCCCATATACAAGCACTTGACAAATGCAAGAAATGTAAGAGCACCTCCAGAGGGCATCTTTCAGGCCACATATAATTGCTTCACTTCCACCTATTGGGGAATAACACATTATAAAGTAGAAATTATTATAACAGATTGTCTGATTTTTGCAGAGTACTGCTATTTCTTATGTTCCCTGTCCGTCTTCTTCTCAACTGAAGTGAACTCCTAGAAGGTTATGAATCAGGCGGATAGAGAAGGATTGTAATATTAACTTACACATTGTTTTTCTAATTTACAATCTAACTACAGGGTCCTTAACGCATCATCTAGAAACTCTCTGCTCTGCCTGAAAAAAAATACATTCAACAATTCTTTTAACAGGTGAAGCTCATGTGCTGCAAAATAAACTCCTGGTTTCCAGCATCATCATCTTTTCAAAATGTGCCCGAGGACCACATGGGTCTCATAACCTTTTTTATAGATATGAAATGCTTTGTTCAGAAATATACCCATTTATTCTCATAACTTTTTTTAGAGATATAAAAGTGCTTTATTCAGAAATATGCCCATTTACTCACAAAAAGAATAAAGATAGGTATCCTATGAAGGGGATTAAGGTAGCAGCCATTTTGTAAATAGTTATGTCCCAATGTCTCAAAGGTACTTTTTTTTTTCAAAAGACAACTGGACTGTTTTTTGAGGAAAAAGATGATGTTTCGCTTCTGTTCAAGAAGCTTCATCAATTGTGACTGGCTGGTTGGGGTGATAGAAGGATAGATACATCCATCCAGTCACAACTGATGAAGTTCTTGGATGAGAAGCAAACATCTTCATCAAAAAACAGTCCGGTTGCCTTTTGGGGGAAAAAGCATCTTTGAGACAGCTATGACCTGGATGACTGAGAATCTCCATAGAGGCATAGACATTTATGTCCCAATAGGTAGCTTCTCCTGAATGATAAATCCTCCCCAGCAGTTTTTTTGCAAAGGTACCTTAAACCTGTTCTCTAAATTCCAGATGCGCTCTCAGCACCAAAAGGTTATAGATCCCTGACCTAAAATAATTATCTGGCTTGTTTGGGAAGTCTTATAGTCAACTACCAGAATTTCCAGTTAAAGGGGTTAATATTTCTATAGACCACAATCTGGAGAAAGGCATCACAAACAGTTCTTTCTCACAGAAAAAATAACACATACAGAGAAAAGTCAGCCTGTAGCTTTTTTGATTGCATAAGAGAAGTGTGGGCAATCAAGCATTTCCTTATCTTGAAAAGGAAGGCAAAGGTTTCTAGAAAGTCTCTCCTTTTCTGTATAGTATTGCTTTGTTAACTTAAAAGTCCTTTCACCTATGTTCTAGGAGAGTAGAGATTTCAACTGGGTGTGAGTAGAATATATGTTCTTGGCCCCCGAGTATGGTCTCCTGGTGACCATTGTCTCATCATAAGCTTTGGAATGTGACTTTCTCTTCTATTCCTTTCCATTAGAATTAATTTCAACTACTCATTTGGTTTTCTCCTCCTGAAAAGAGAGCAGCTTCATCTTCTTAGAATAAAGGCATGATAAAATCCAAACTTACAGTAAATGATGATTATTCCTAGTGGTAAGTAGGCCAGTATCTTTTCTGAACTATTAGCAAGTTTATTTTTTATTACTGGAAAGATAGGTGAATGACCCCAGCAGCAAGCACTTGAAACAGAGTGCACATACAATGCTGTGCCTGTTTGTTTTAACTCCGGTCTCTTAACTAAAGCTCAGTAGTTCAAATAGATTAAAATAATTACAATGATTGTGTCTGCAGAACATACTCAGCCAAAATCAAATAAACCACATATGGTATATTTTTACTAAAATACATGAATTCAGAGTCATTGGTCAAAAGATAAGTTGATTTTTGACTGGGTGCGGGGAAAGGATATTTTTCTTTAGATAACTTTAGAAGCTGCTCCCTTTCGAGAATCTTCTGTGATAGGAAGTGCCTATCACTTCCCAATATAAAGACAACACAGCCAATAACCCATGGTTACCTTGTGTTCAGATAAGCACAATGCACATTACATGATGCTGCCCTGATGTGTGGTTTGGATATACAGCTAGTATAAAATAGGACAACCAAATTGTTTCCAAGGGTGCACCATGAGCACTTTCTTATACGAGTCCTCTGACATTGCTTTATTTCTGGGCCATTCAGGGGGTTTTTACTGGTAAAATCCTCAACACTTAAGGGACACTGTATCTATACAAATACTTTTGTAGATGGCCTTGCTGATAAATTGAAAAGGAAATACAGAACAAGACCTTTTCCATGGCATTAATCCAGCTCCAAATTTCTTTTTTTCTTTTTGCTTGGGATATTAAACCTTTGCTGGCTATAGACTTTTAATTATTTTGGTAGAATTCTACTATTTTAAATCTTCAGTTCTCAAACTGGTAGAATAATTTATTTTTAAAATAATGTATTATAAATTGTTTTTAGATTCTTTAGATCAGAAGGCAGCTTTTAATTAAATATTTTAAAGTTCTTACCATCGTATCTGAACTGGAAGATTTGGGATGTAGAGCTACCTGCTTTTAAAAAAAATCTAAAAGCTACTGTATAAGAAGACAGCTTTAAGCTATTCTTCCAAATTACAAAGTTTAAATCCTTTAATTCCAAGCAAGCCAACCTCCCTATCAAATTCTTCCCTTGATGAAAATGTTTATAGAAGAGACGAGAGGGAACTTGATCGTTTTAACATGCTAACACTTTCTAACTTAAAATGTGAGTGAATCCTTTAACCAAAGCAGAATTCTATTGATGTTTTGGGGATTTTTTGACAGTTTGAAAGTTTCACAACTTCCTCCTCATGCAATAATAGTAACACTCAAATGACGTATATAACCAAATTCTCTTCTGAAGTTCACTTTATGACCTAATTACAGGTTTGCTGCCAGTGTATTTTGGAAGCCTAGCTTTTTGCTACATCTTGGTGTTCACCTGCATGCTGCTCCTTCAATGGCGAAAACAAATCCTTCAGAAGCGCCGCGCAAAAGTCTGGATGAAACAGTTGAAAGCAGAGTCTTATTTTCAACAGGCCTTGGCTCACAGGGCTGATGAAGAAGCCCAGCCTAGAACAAATGCAGCCATCTGCAATCCTGATAACATCCCAGAGCCACAAAGCATTTTCTTACCCAGTGAGAATATTGTGGAGACCGATGACAGTTCTACCCCTCCACTTCCAGATTCAGTTCCATACAAACCGGTATTTCAAGAAGTTGCATGTGCTTGTGCACTCTCTCACTTGCCGCCACTGCTTGCGCACTCAGCTTCTTACCCTTGCTCTACCATTCCAACAGAAAGTTCACCATTCAGCTTACCTCTAAAACCAACCATCTTGAAAAATGATCCATACAGTATAGGTAGCAGGATCTCTGCTTAGCAGTCAATGTCATGGATGGGAATATTCTTAACTGGTTTCAATTAGAACTCAATTAAAGATCAGTTTCAAACTATTTCTGTTTTCATTCAAGCACTATTTTAATACTGGGAAGACAATTTGCCTTTGACAACTAGTGTAGAAAGAAATCACTTTAGAAATTACATTGTGTTCACAATCCTTATATACAGTATCATGAAACCGAAGTGTGTGTTTCTTTCCACGATTTCTAAAATCCCAATTGCCCAAAGAGCTAAATATTACATGGCCATACTTCTATTTTTAACCTTAGTAATAAATTACATTTTAATATATATGAGCAATATCCACATATATCAAAAAAACAAATGGTATGGAAGTCTTTGGAGCAACTTTTTCTACTGTTAAGAGGTAATCTGGGAACAGCAACTGTTTTTGCAAATCAGTTTATCATGTACTACACTACTCCCATGGACTCAGTAGGATTTTTTCAAGTGAACTGAATTTTCAACAATAGTAAGAAAAAGCTGAACGCTTCAGTTTTTCCTGTAATATATTTTTCTAGATGAAATGCATCTTGAAATAAAATAAGCATCACACCCAAAACAAACTTATTTTATTTAGATTTGACATTCACAATGCATAATAGGTGCCAAATGCCACACCTAAATCCAGCTTTAATTTACTCCATAAGAGCTTTTGCACATTTGTGAGGCCCAATTTTATAAAACATTTCACTTAGTTTAAGTAGGACAATGCAAATCAATTACTTTTATACAATGTAAAACCAGTGTACCTTCAGTGCAGTGGATTCCAATACAAATCCTAAAGAACAAGTTCCATAGATGAACACTATGATTCATAGCAGAAAATTGTTTTAACATTTTAAAGATCTGATTAGTTAATTCATATTCAAAAGGACACAATGTTCACTTTGGAGATATAAAATCAAGAGTCATTTTTTAATAGCATAAAGAGCAGTACCACTTTTAAGTACAGCCAACACTCCCATACAAGGGAAACAGGCTTAGATCTTTCAAAACCTTTAAGAATTTTCTCCTTTACAATGTTATGGTTCTCCATACAAGTAAACTACCCTTTTTTGTAAATTTTAATTTTATTAATTCATGTGATTATCTGAACGAAAAAAGAATTCTGCAATCAAGTAATTTTTACTTTTTAAGTGCCACTATATTTTCTTGTGCAATCACAAAAGAGACAATACATTCCACTATTACGTTACCCTGTCCCTATTCTATCTATTCTGAATGCCCCTAATTTTATCAGGGAATTTTATTATTGTGAAATACCTGAATAACCTATTTTTTATATAATATATTCATTGGAAGCAGTGCTATAAATCCAACATTCATTTGAAGCCTTCTGTTACTACCGTAATAAAGAGATGAGTCCATTTCATGGGCACCTATGAACACTGAAAAAAAAACTCTGTAGCTTAATATCCACATGAACATATTCAAATCTTGTGTTTTTCTAAAATATGTTACAGCTTATAGCTATCCTACTCAGCATGGCTGATAGTCAGACATGATATATGACTTGTGGCATCAGTTCAGAAGAGTATTATACCTTAAGGAGGATGAAGCTAAAATGGGGGAAATGCTAGGATTTTGATCAGTGGTTTAGCTAATTCCCATTACTCTTGCTTAAATAACCTTCCAAAAGAGGCAGGCTCAGCTCTGGGAAGAATGCTCACATTCAACTTCAAATCAATTCTGCTGTACAGCTATTGTGCACATTTTTAATTAACCCTGAAATAATTTCAAAGAATGCGCTATTTGAGCCAATTTATAATACTCTGCCATATTTATTTTGCTTTCCTGATAAAATACATTTACTTCTAAATGCACAAATATTGCCAATTAGAAGAAACACTTCATAAGACAAGCAATGTATTTTGAAGGCTCTAATTATATTCAAAAACAAGATAGAATTACTTCAAGATTTTACATGAAGAGTTACATGAAGAGTTAGCTTTCTGAAAAGCTTGCAAATGGGGAAAATATACCACTTCAGAGTTTAGACATTTCACCACTTCATGTTCCTAAATTTGCCTAATATGAATGTCTTCTTTCTCAGTGGTGACATACACATGTGAGGAATAGGGAAATGCTGGTGTGCTAAGGATCCTAATCAATCAGCTCAAGTCATTACTTATACCTTCCTTCCTGCTCTATAACACACAGTATGAATTAATCTTAGGTATTTTTTTCTAATGAAAGCATTCCTTTAATGTAGGGTAGTTTTCAAATAAATGTTTCTCTTAGGGTACAGTATTGAGATGTTGAAGACTATGACTTCAGCTTCTAAATTAGATCAGAAATTTTGGAGTGAGATTTCTGTTACAACAAAAATGTATCTGAAAACAATCCCTAAAAGTGCTCATGATAATTAGCTTAATACTGAGATTAAAAGTCATTCTTTTTATATGGATCATGACAAGCCACCTTTAAAAATACCTTCAATATTTTGCTATACAATCATATTACATACACACATACAAATACTGCTATATTTAATAGTTATTGCTTTATTTGGTCAATGGTTTTTATACACAAAGCATATAAAACTAATTTTATCTGAAAGAATACTGGTTTTTAGTTACTTTGCAATATGAATTTTGAACTTTAATGGGTATAGATCACATACAAACTTAAGGAAACAATTTACATTCTGGATAATCTAGATAAGGGAATCTGGTTTTCCAAAAACTGTTCATTAAATTTTTGGAAGGAGTCTGTTTACATCGTATTCTAGTATATCAGTGCTCCATACTTTATAGAAACCACTGCCATTATTTTCCCAAGAAGCCTGAATTTTGTGTGGGCAATGAAGATTCCTGAGAACTTAAATTTGCTAAACTAAAAGCTGTAAAGAAAGCCAACAACTATGACAGCATTCTATTCAACATATCATTTTAAAATAGATTTACAATAAAAATGGCACATTAGAAAACCTTGCTGTGTTTGGTTTGTACAGAGAATAATGATTATCTGAGATTATTTACTAAATAAAATCCTACCATTTGTTTGCCTGACAACACCTGATTTTTTTAATAACCAAAAAAAAGCAGTTTAAAACGCTTAGAATTTCCAAGCTTATAGCTCAAGCCACATCACCAAAAGTAACTTCACATTCACAAACACATCTGTTTTTTAATAAGGCAAAATCTTACTAATCTTGATAGGCCAGAGTACATAGGAAGATGCTGTACTCCTAGTGGAAATCTTTCTCAAACTGCAAGTTAAGAAGCAGATTTAACTATAGTGTGGAGAAAACAGCTGGTCCATGCCACAATCTTAATCCATTTGAACCTCACATTGCAATTAATTTTAAAATAAATCAGCAAACTATAGAGTGAAAACGCAAAAATGTACTTAATGTAATATATAATTTGGTCCTTATCATCTCATTCTTCTCTGAGAGTATCAGAATTACTGATAATATTAACTATGCTAACTATTAACACCACTTTTAATCCTCTGTTAAACTGGGGAAAGTTAATTGAATAAAGTATCACCAATACAATAGGAAAAGCTGAAGTAAATATTGCAATGTTTCCAGCAGGAATCCTTCTTCATAAAATTATTATAACTGAAAATAACAATGAATCTGTAATCAATTTAAAACCAGAAGAAATTATTATTCTTACAACCTGTTTCTAAGAATGTCTCTTTATCTCAATTTCAAGAACTGAAGTCTTCTTTAGAGTCTGGTATAAATGTTAGTCTTTAAGTAGCACAAAACTTTCCAGTGATTCACAAACAAATATAGGAAAGGAGTGTCATACAAGTGTAATTCCTAGGAAGAAGAAATGTTTTCTGTTGCCGATTTTTACTTAATACAACCTGGAAAATTGATTACTTTAAATGCAAATTAGACCCAAATATGTATAAGTTATTCTAGTTTAAATATTTACAAACGGAAGAATCCCATCCTGCAAATCAGAGTTTTATATTTTATTCTAAAGTGCAGCTAATTTAAGGCAAATTTGAAATATAAAATCAAGTCTGTCACTATATACACACATTTTAACTTGAAGATGAGCTTCCCTTACACGGGAAATAAAGTCTGAGATAAAATTCTTTGTGTAGTCATAAGGTGCAATTATCATTTTCATTACAACCATTCAATTCAATGTAATGCAATTCTGGGGCCATGATCCAGGACAATAAAATGTCCCTAGTTCTGTGGGAATCAAAACCAACGCAATAATGTATTTGCTATTAATAGGCCCTGTTTGCATAAACACACTTAGGCATAGCTATTTACCCCTAGATCAGAGCCTCAAAAGTTGGAAAAACTTTCAGGGATCAACATATCTTATGTTACAACGGATAAAAATATAAACGCTTTTCGCTATTTTCCAAAGAACAGAAAATTTAAAAGGTGTCAATTGATACACTAAATTAACTTCAAAGACTAGCAGATCACTGGGAAAAGTGCTAGAAGAAGCTTTTACTTATTCAGTTGGTTTTTTTAAAAAAACATAGCTACTGTAGTCCTTCAATACTGTGTTTATAAGAAAAGATACTATAGACCCAATGCTACTTTCAGTTCTGATATGGAATATCTTCCATCTCCATCTTCATCAAACTCCTGAAAACTCTGTCGATCATGCACTGTTGATCCAACTAGATTTTCCAGGTCCTCATATGTTAGCTTGTCATTAGTGCCTTGGCTAGAAGTCCTGAATAAATTTTGAAGATCTGCAAGGACCCAAAAAATTATAAAATATAATTCATACTCTCTCCTGAATTCAATCACCCCAAACACCTTCATAAGTCAGTTACGATGTGATTAGCTTAAGAAATAAGTTTATTATGCCAATAATAGCAGCATCATATCCCTAAAACTCAAGACTCCTTATTGCCAGCACTGATATTTCTATCATGGATTATTTAACTAGAGTTTCTCATTCATCTGCAATTCAGAAAATGCAGGGTTTTTTTGTAAATTGACATTTTAAATGCAGTTTAATGTACACTTACTAAACAAAGGTTACTTTCATTATATGTATGAAACTACAACTATCATGGTTATTAAAAACCACAAAAAAGTCAACATTGTTTTGTTATGGAAAAAGAAATGGTATGAAATAGAATGCAACCTCATTTTTAGTTTACTAAACTATGTAAAATCATTATATCTGAGCTGACCCCAAAACAATGATATGCCATACATATGAATTAAACTAGCAAGAACAGCACTAAACATTTGGAAAGAGATAATTGCTAAAGATTAATGTATGTCAACTGACTTAATATAGCTGATTATCTGCTTCAGGTATTCAGAGTAGACTATAGTATAATAACCCATTTTATATTATTTTTATACATTT